AAAAAAAAAAAAAAAAAAAATTATCATTCTAACATAAAACCTATTTCTGGCTGGGCACAGTCACTTACACCTGTAATCCTAGCACTCTGAGAGATCAAGGCAGGTAGATAACTTGAGCTCATGAGTTGAGACCAGCCTGAGCAAAAGCAAAATCCTATCTCTACTAAAAATAGAAAAACTGAGGCAAGAGGATCATTGAGCCTAAGAGTTGGAGGTTGCTGTGAGCTGCGACACCATAGGACTCTACTCAAGGCAACAGCTTGAGACTCTGTCTCAAAAGAAAATGAAAAGAAAAAGAAAACATGTTTCTTATAAACTACCAAAGTATTCATGCTTTCTATAGATTAGTTTCCTATCTCTTTATTTCCACAAGTTATAGGTGGAACTTTATTATTTATTATTATTATTTCATTTATCCAAATAAGAGTGAAAATTACTGTCTCCAGCACTGCCAAGTTCTTCTTCAGATAAAGATTGAAAACTAAGTCAGGTGCGTATAATCTAAGGTGACCAGATTTTAACATTGGTAAAGTGGGACACCATTGATGGGGGGTGGGGGACGACTCCTGACAACAATGCAAACTTTGATAAGCAGTTCTCGATAATCACTTCTCAACAATTATTTGTTATTATTACAGTTTAACATTATAAAATTAACAGAAATAATACAAAACTCATATTCTGGTGAAATAGCCACATGGCAGCCAAAAACTGTATATTCTCTTACTGTAGGGTGACCAGACATCACGCTTTTGGCAGGACAGTCCCAATTTTTAACAATATGTCGAGACTTATCCGAGGGCTACGCGGAGCCCAAGGGCTTGGACGGTGCTGTGAGGGCCGACGGCTCAGTGACCCTTGTTTTGCCCCAAGCCTGGGGCCCAGCGTGTAGCCAGCGAGAGCCCCAGCGCGGGGGCGGCGGCGCAAAGATTGCCCTGGAGGAGGTGGCCCGTGGCCCCATCCTCGTGGACACCGGGGGGCCCTGGGCTCGGGAGGCGCTGCTAGGGGCCCTAGCGAGGCAAGGGGTGTCCCCGGGAGATGTAACTTTGGTGGTGGGGACCCACGGGCACTCGGACCACATCGGGAACTTAGGTTTGTTTCCGGGCGCGGCATTGCTTGTCTCGCACGACTTCTGCCTCCCTGGGGGTCTCTACCTGCCCCACGCGCTGGATGAGGAACGGCCTTTGCAGCTGGGGCCCGGGCTCGAAGTGTGGGCCACACCGGGCCACGGGGGCCAGCGGGACGTGAGCGTGGTAGTAGCGGGCACGACTCGGGGCACCGTGGTGATAGCGGGCGATGTGTTTGAGCGCGATGGGGATGAGGATTCGTGGCAGGCGCTGAGTGAAGACCCGGTGGCCCAGGAGCGGAGCAGGAAGAGAGTCCTAGACGCCGCCGACATAGTTGTGCCTGGTCACGGAGCCCCTTTTCTGGTGTTAAGGGAAGTCGCGCAGCTGGCAGCAGCCAGTGATCCCAGACAAGGACTGATTGGTCCCGAGAGGGACTGAACTCTACCTCAAGGAAGCCCTTCCTTCCAGCGAGGAGCGAGACGACGGGGACCCAGTAGGCCTGAATCAGAGCAGTCAAGGGTGGTCGCTTCCAGTCCTTCCAGGAGGCCAGATTTCTACCGAGGACACAAAGTTCTTTTTTTTTTTTTT